ATATCATTGTTCTTTCACTACTAGAATGGGGCAATAGTACAATAGTACAAGACAATAGTACTGGAAATGAAATACACATAGACCAAAATATCGGGTTAAAGCTCCAGGCTTTAATACCTCTCAAAATAATCACAAGAAATAAAGCACAGAAAAATACAATAGGGGATTGTCTAGGGAAGTGTGCATTGGTGATAACTTACATTTCCAGGATGTAGAAATGGAAGACAGTCAATAGCTCCCGCAGCACGAAAAAATACAATCTTGCTCGCAGAGGAACGCCGTTATTCTGGAGGGCACCACTGAAAGCAGGAGATCGTACAGGAGTTTATACAAGTCTCACAGAATGATGGTTGAAGCCTGTATCAATTGTCTCACAATATCGAAGCAGCTACAAGTCTCACAGAATAATGGTTGAAGCCTGTATCACTTATCTCACAATATCATATAGTAGAAATGATGGTCCCCAACTGTCCTCGGTCTGTCCAATTTATATGTATAAATGGCCCAGATTCGGGGACACCACCTGTGTTTTCACATGAGCCAATCAGAATGTGATCTTGCTACCCACCTGGTAGATTACAATTGTCCTTCCAAAGTTGTAAACACCCTTTGTTATGTAAATCACAAGCACACCTTGCAGATTCCAACTGTCCTTCCAGAGTTGAAAACAAGTATGACCTGTCAATCACCTTTATAACAGTTATCACACGGCAATGCACACCGTTTCTTCCCATGATTCCATGCACACTTCTATTTGCAGAGTTTAGGGTAATATGACAAAAACATAGAATAAAGGATGCTGACAATCACGGACACAAATCCCTCATTGGTGTGTAATACTAATATGACTCAAATCGGAATCGTAAACGAATATGATGGAATTTATTCACGCCCACATTCGGGTGTACGAGAAGCAATAATCATCGTAAAATATAACAACTATAATTAATAATGAATGTAACATTCTGAAATAAAATAAAAATAAATATATCACTATAAAAATTGCTTAAAATTCACCCGTGAAAAATACAATATCAGTTTGTTGAAACGATCAGTGTGAAGCACAGAAAACAAGAGTCAAATAATAGTTTCCCTATTCAGTGAGGCCTAGGGGTAATGTACAAGCGGTAATTGTTCATACGCATTAAAATTACACGAATATTTAAATTAATCTGCATAAGATACTGATTTAGCACACTCAGTCGATGCTTGAAGAAAAGATTGTTGGTATATTATGAATAATAACCACATAAAGAAATGTACATTCACAGAACGTTAATAAAATTTCATCTGAAATCCACAGCGAGCTAGTTTGTAGTTTGTTCAATTACATATTATGAATACTTCTATGATAATTAAAAAAAAAAAACTTTCGTATTTACACTCATTATTTATCACTGAAATACAGCATACTCACATTGACACCAATAAGCAAAAATCGTTATGATTGGATGAAAAGTTACAATTGTTAGAAAATACAAACACACATCATAAAGTAATGTACATGTACAGAAATTAGTATACGGATCAGCAAATGCAATAGTATATTTCATCGCCGTGTGTGTTTAGTAGATGATGGCACATTGATAAGTTGATCACCATCAGCAGCGGCTCCTGGTTCGAACCCATCTTTCCCATTCAGCCAGTATGTATGGAAACGACCTTTGCCCTAGAAAAGAGCCAGAATGTATTATTATTGATATTGACTCATTAATATGCACAATATTTATCAATGATTACAATAGACATGTCATTTGTCGGTAACGAATATAATGTATGCTTGGTGATTTTGATAGCAACACGCGTCGTTCCCAGTACTTAGTAGCCGGAAAGTATCACTTGACAGGTACAGGTAGTAGGTAACGCGTTTTAGAAGACATTATGACAGGCAAACATACAAAAAATGCAGTACATAGTCAATAAATCAGTGTTTTACGTAATCGACACACACACGTGAAGCAAACTTTCAAATTAGATTAAATGGAAATGTACCTGTAATTCAATTTCTCCTCTGTCTGTCATATAAAACCCCCCAAGCTCTTTTAATAAGTCGTGGGAAGTATTACTTATATGAATGCGATCAGCTAAAAAATAAGAAACATACATAAGCTAAATGTTACCACAGTTGTAAAAACGTCTATTCATTGTTGACAATAAAACTCGATTCTATTTCTCTACTCTTACATATATAATTGAACAAATTAAATTTATTTGTAAACAAAAATTAAAGTAATAAAATTCTGATCTTACCTTGGCCTTCGCTCTCTAGGCGCTCGGCGATGTTTACCGTATCACCAAATAGACAATAACGAGGCATCTTTGTGCCAACAACACCGGCAACAACCGCACCTATAATCAATATACAAGTAAGGCAGAATGTGTTAAGATGAACACAATAATGTCATTATTGCGGAAATTACGTGAATTTTCATACCCACTGATGTTTGCAAGAATCAAACCGTAATTGAAAGCACATTTACGATCATCTAAACATGAAACACAGAATTCGCAATTACCCTTCAGCACAGTAAGCATACACACTCCCCGTTAGGCTATAATTAAAGCACTTTCCCCAAACGGCAGCATGAACTAGCGCGTAGTGTATGCGTACTTTCAGTGACTAGATGGACGGAGACGTGTACATATGCGAAACGTATAAACATGAGTTTAGAAGCAATCTACGATGTCATTGAGTGACTTCGTTCTTGCCTAAAGCAATGAGAATGGAAATGCATTAAAGATAAACTGTTTAAAAGTGGTCTCATTATACAGGATTTTCACACCACTAGATCTTGTAAAATAGTTGTTTGGTATTATAGATATACAGTGTTTGATAGAGTAGATAATGTAATTTTTTCAGGCTGCATGTTGTTAGTTAGTTTTACCAAAATGAATATATTTACAATTAGCAAAACTATCTGTAAAAATACATATATAAAGCATTTATAATACTTTAAATTTACAATAAATTTAAATCGTAAATAGAAATGTTAATACCTGTATGTAGCATTGGTGATACACATACCTGTATGCATGCCAATACGTATATGTAAAACGGTATCGGGTAAATGAGAGATTTCAAGTTTTGAGATATTGTATCTCAAATCTAATGCCAACATAGCAATTTCATCCACGTGGCGCATGCCATTCTTACGTGGAACACCTGTAATGGAAATTGATACATATGTAGAGCTTACGAGTGTGCTGTTGAAGAAAGTAATTGTTAAGTAAATGTAATTGAATAAATGGTAGAATGGACTGACTGGGCATGTATTGTATTGTTAATAACAGAAATATAACGAACATATTAAACATGAAACAAGCGAGAGTCAAACTCATGACATGGCAAATGTATCCACTACTGTTAGCAGACGAATTGCTCCTTATGGACACCTAATAATGGCTTCTATGCTAGCCAATGTTCTGGCCAAGGATTCAATAAGTGAGACAATAGCTACCCTACCTGATACAACCATGTACGCATCACCGATGGTCTCCACTTTATACACATCATATTGATCAATTCGATGATCAAACAATGAGTAGAGTGAATTCAACATTCTGACAACTTGTAAGGGGGAACTAAGAGAACAAATACTGGTGAAGCCTACGATATCGGAGAAGAACACAGTTGCTATGTCGAAGGACTCCGCTGTGACTTTCTCGTTCTTTTTCAGCTGGTTGGCAACTGCCTTAGGAAGCAAGCGGTAGAGCAGAGACACTGCTCTTCGACGTTCACGTTGAAGATTTTTGTTTTGTCCAATCAGAGTTGATGCAAATACCTGCATATGGGATGTAAGTCGCATTACCAGAAACACTATTATAGGACTGACAAACAAAATCATTACTAGTACAAAGGCCACCAGAGCCGCATTCCGTAAATCACTTATTACAGCATTTTCAAGCGATTGGAGTATATCTGCAGCTAGTTTATCTTGTATAACTAACAGTATCTCCATATAATTTGTCATATTGTTATACCAGTAATTGGCGTTTTCCCAAGAAGGCTCAAGTTCTATATTCTGACGTACGATGGTCTTCATATTGGCGATTGAGACAATCACATCTCCAGATAACTCATCCATCAGTTCATCATGCATAGTTTTAATCTGAGGTGCATATTGCCAAGATGCTTCGAAATTACCCTGAGCCCTGAATGCTCTCTCGAGATATTCAATGAAGTGAGTATACTCCGTGAATCTCCCTTGCGAATAATAAACAGAACCAAGTGTACGCTCAACTCCAGCATCTTCTTTGCTAACCACAAGTAGTTGGTAGCCTACTAAAATTGTCCACGTTCTATCGGAACCTTTAAACTTGCCGAGTGTCTCGTATAACCATTCAATGAAAAAACGTATAGCGGTGGAATAAAATTCAATTTCGTCAAAAAGTGTAGCATCTGATATATAAAGATCACGTCGATGGGTGTCAAGAAACTTTGATAATCTCCCTTGGTTTCTAGCTCTTTTAGAATGTTAGAAGCTTTTACTGGCCAGCTGTTCATTTTGCGCAGTGTTCTGTCCGTCTCCGGGTATGTGTCTGTAAGGATCTGACGTGTCGTTGGGTTAATACTGCTGAGTACAGTGTCGTCATGTCACGCTCATTCTGTAAGGTATGTAGGAAGTTGCCGAGTTCTCTACCAAATGCAATGGCTTTTCGAATTTCCAATGATTCCGTATTAGCATCCAAAACTATCTTCAAATTATTTGACGCCACAGCTATCAACGTTATAACAGGAATCATCACTAACATCATCATTTTTGCTAATTGCCATCGTTGGCCTGATTTTTTCATAGGATTACATGCACCTTTTCTTCCTGTCCACTTGAAGATTCTTTGTGTAGAAGCTGAGGATTCACTTCCTGTTACCATGCTTATAATTGAATTGTCGTCATTAAGGCTGAACATTGTTTCTAAATTTGCTTCATCAGAGGAATGTGTGTGTTCTACCTCCATCTTGACTATATGTACGCTGACCTCGGTGTAAGTCGTTGAATATGATTTCTTAATGAATATGATGATTTAATGATTTCAAATCAAATACCTGAGTAAAGATGAATTATATTCATTATATTGACCAGTTTATAAAAAAATATCAACGCACATATACTACTAGCTAATGAGATATCAGAGGTTAGGATGATAAACGTGTGTTGCCCCCCTTCTGATAAAGAATGAGCAATATAAGGACATGACCGAATGTTATAAATAAGACCTCGAAAATAGGTCTTTAGGCCCTCTATAATTGAGATTCGTTTCTGTTTAGTTTTTGACGCAGAGAACGTTATTACGCAAAATCAAGGCCATGTATTCAAATGAAGAGT